TATAAATAACATAGGAAATATCTGTCTGGATTTAAGCCCTTCTCATACTGATGCCAAATTTAGGCCATTGGAAGAAAGGCCAGCAGATCCAAAGAAAGTCATGAAACGTATTTTTTTCAGCTAAATTGATTTCAGGAGGATTCAATGACATTTCATTTCCACTGGATCAACAGATATTTCCTATGTTATTTATAGGATATAGATGACTATAAATCTGTAAAACAAAACGTATTATCAACTAAATCAGTGTGCGATGCAAATATAAAAGTATATATGCATATACAGGTAGTCGATCACAATCGAGGTCAAAGTTTATATTGCTAACTAAGTGAGAAAATTGTTAAGTTTTGTTCCATTTTTCTTGCCACATTTATTAAGAGAATCCCTGCAGTGTAAAATTAGTAACACGGTTGTTAAGTGAACCTGGCTTTCCCATTGACTTGGCTTGTCAGAAGGTCACAAAAGGGGATCACATGACCCCAGGACGCTGGAACCGTTATAAATATGAACCATTTGTCAAGCATTCAAATGTAAATCACCTGACCATGGGGATGCTGTAACGGTCATAAGTGTGAAAAATACTCATAAGTCACTTTTTTCAGTGCAGTTGTAACTTAGAACAGTCTTTAAATGAACTGTTGTAAGTCGAGGACTATCCATATGCTAAACTGACCCATTGCACAAATATATGACAGACCCAAAGGTGTGTTATACAAACCGCCTACACACAGAGTATTATAGGATCTGCATCCTTTCAGATTTTTAAAATATACTGTCATCCTTTCTACTGTAACCCCATTACTTTAGTTTAATTGCTCAATATAAAGTAATTAAAACCATTTAGAAATGCCTTAAGATATATTTCAGCATTATGCTGAGCTTTAAATAAAGCTTTATTTGAAAGATCAAAGGACCGAACAAGAAATTAAAAGGCCAAAGGCTTACTCCTGCTCTATGTTATTTCCATTTCCCTCGTAGCAAGGAATAGACCTCTTCTTGAACTTGACATCATTCATTCATTTAATTGATTCTCCAAAATGACAAGGTCCTTTATCCAACAGTAGGTGAATCGTACTGTCCAGGTTTCCCATCTTAAAACTCCTTGGACTGGACTTCCTTGGCTTAAACATCGTATTATTTATGTACTCTAGCCATTCAGAAGGTCTACTGCCATTGCTAACATGACTTCTCCCACTGTCATGTAAAAAGCATGGTGGATTTAAAAAAAAAAAAAACCCAAACCTTATAGAACAGTGATGGCTAACCTTTTTGCCATCGCATGGCAAAAGTGGGGGGAGCGCAAGGGGGTCTTGCGTTGGTGTGCCCACACTCAAAATTCTATGCACGCAATTCCCTGCGTGTACATGCATGAGCATGACCCCCCCCTCCCCTGCTTTGGGTGCATGATGGAACCGTTTTTTGTCCCCCCAGGCTCCAGAGGTTTTCTAGGAGCCTGGGGAAGGCAAAAAAAACCCACCCACTCCTGGGAGGCCCTCGGAGGTTCTGTTCCCGAACTTCCGGGTTGCCTGTAGGGCTGTTTTTTGCCCTCTGGAAGCTTCAGGAGGCTTCCCTGAAGCCTCCATAGGGACAAATACAGCCAGAAGTGAAGGCTGAAGTCAGCTAACCAGCACACACATGCGTGCTGGAGCTGACAGGGTAATGCCTCACGTGCCCTAACAAATGTCTCTGCGTGTCACCTGTGGTACGTGTGCCATAGGTTCGTCATCATGGTTATAGAATGTTCTAATCCCAAGTGAAAAGTTGCAGAGGTTTTCAGCCCCACCTAACTTTAATCTGCCAAGTAGCATTAGAGATACCTTAATACTGAGCCCTACAAGTTCCATTTCTGCGTTTGTTTCCATCCTATCTCATACTAACATCACAGTTACTTAAAAAGATTACTCTGAATTGAAGACAACCTCCCAAAGAGAGCAGGCAGGGAAACACTCCTCCCAAATCCTATGCAACTCCTAACTCCCCCTCTTCTCAAACTAAGATTTTCGCTATCTTCTAAACCAGTGGTTCTCAACCTGTGATCCCTGGATGCTTCGGGGGTGGGTGGGTGATGTCATTATGAGGGGGTCCGTGAAGGTTTGAAGAAATGTCTGTGCCACAAATAGTATTTAAGGAGGGTCCATGGTGAAGAAAAGGTTGAGAACAACTGGTGTAAACAAACCTGGGAGATTCCTCCCTCCATACTATGCATATTACATGTGAACCCACACATACGTATCTCTTCCTGAAGCAATACTAAAAAAAAGCAAGGCCAAACTAGGACAAAATAAAATGAAAATAATCACCACCAATTGCCTACAAATTTGGCATCTCATTTATATACAGTAACTAATTAATTTCCTATGTAATCATAATTCTATTCTTTCTCACACACGCAAACCACTTTCACAAGAGAAACACAAGCGTGCACACAGACAAGCAAACTTCCCTTCTTTTCTCCCCTGTAATCAGAAATAACAGAGGCGGAAGAGGAGGAAATGGAAAGAAGATGGACGGAGGGCAAGAGGAAAGAGTAGCTGCCAGGGATGGGTTTCAATTTTTTTTACTACTGGTTCAGTGAGTGTGGCTAGATGGGGGGCATGTGACTGAGTGGGTATGGCCAACTTAACGTCACTCACACACACTCAGTCACATGACCCCTTGACCAAGCCATGCCCATCGAAACTGTGGAGAAAAGTTTTGACTGGGAGGGGGGTAGGCTCCAGCCTCGCCGGAGCTAAGGGAGTGCCTGCAAACTATCCAGTAAGAAAAAAAGGTTTTTGTCCTCCCCAGCCCCCAGGAAGACTCTGCAAGCTTCAGCAGGGCTGGGGGAAGGGAAAAATGCCCCCGTTTTTGCAAAAAATGGCCTCTCTCTGGGATCTCTCGGACTGGCATGCACACACCATTAAAAAAGGAGAAAAAATTACATTATTTCAATGAAGGTTGTTCTGTGCATATGCAGAACAGAAAATAAAGATGGCAGCACCCAGGAGAGAACCCGTACAGTCACGTGTCCGGCTGAGTTACTACCCCATTCAACCGAACCGGTAGGAACCCACCTCTGATAGTTGCCCTGCAAAGAAGACAAAGACAAAGGGAAGAACAAAGCTGTTTGGAGAGGAGGTAAGAATAACTAGGAGAGGAAAGCCTTGTTTATGCAGTACAAAAACAATTAAATAACACTAGTCAGCACCCCTCCCTCAAGCAACAGCTTATTTTCAAAGGCACCAGCATTGTAGGAGACGACCTGGCTAAGCCCGTGGGTGGGATCAAATGTGCCATCAGTTTGGAATCATGCTCCCATAAGAGACCTCCAGCCCTCTCTGCATTCTGCTGACTCTTATCTAGCACCAATTTGCCTGAACCATTAGTAGGTCAGATTCTTGTGTATCGGTAAGGTAATAAACTCAAAGTGCTTTGAACTCAGTTCCTGTTCCTGGTTACTTGCATCTGGCAAACACAGTCCATCATCATTTGTCCTTCAAGTTTCATCAGCATTTTATTTTATTCTTCTTGGTGAATGTCAGACAACTCCCCCAGTTTGCAAGTAATAACTTGTGGGGGAAACACTTCCTTTCACAAACATGGTAATTATCAAAACTGAAGGTGTGCAAGACATGTTTTGTGTTAATGCCAGACGAGTAATAGTACTAACTCACATCTTTTCTAACATCTATTTCTTTCCAAGTGGATATTTGCTACTTCTAAACTACCACAATCTCAGCAGGTCTCCTTGAAGAAGCAATTCTACCAAAACAGTTCTGTCAGAGAGGTGACATTCCTTATGGATGCTAAAAGTGGGGAATTTACAGCTGCTACATATAAATTCCATTATCTTTGACCACTGGCTGGGACAACTGGCCAAACTTTATAGGAGTTGGAATCTGACAACACTGAGAAAGCCACAGGCCGATACCTTCATTAAAACTTTTTAAGAAATGAAAACACTAAACTATTTTTTGAAAACATGGGTTGCCATGGCAAATATTAGAGAATCCATTTAATACATTATCTGCTCCCAGTCCATACCAGTAGCTGAATATCTTTCCAAACCATATTCCAGAAAAAAAAACTTCAGACTCTTTGTCTGTGTAAATATTAGCATTTAAATTATGTATGCATATATTAGGGTCTAAATCAGGTTTGTCCAACCTTGGCAAACTTTAAGACTTATGGACTTCAACTCCCAGCCATTCTGTTAAAGTTAAAGTCCAAACATATTAAAGTTGGCAAGGTCTGACATCCCTGGTCTAAATTATACAGGGATTAGCTGACACCAACTTTATCTGATGGCTCACAAGCTTAACCATTTTCAGGCCGAAGAGAATGCCATAGACTTGGTAAACTTCACCCACATCATTCCGTGCTTGAAAATACTTGCCTCTACAATTGTGATGGCAATCATGAACCAAGGTGGAGGACAGCAGGTGTAGCTGTCGTAGTACCACTTCCGGTCTATCTCACGGGGTAACGTCTCATATGCCACGTGTCGAATCAGCCGCTGAGAAAGGCTGAGTCCTGTCTCCTCCAGGAGGGCCTTGCTGCATAGCCTCCTGTTCCCTTGCAAAATGGCCTGGCGGAAGCTATTGGACCTCTTGTTACTCATCTGAAGATACAGTTAAGAAGAAGGAAAGAAAACAATTAAAATGCTTTAATCAAACTATAAGCTGAGGGCGTTCAGATACATTATCAGGGTTCAATAATACCGAATTCTACACGATAAAAATCGTATATATTCAAAAGAAATAAATTTCCTACTTAATCTCTGGCCTACCCTTTTGATTTAAACAACCGTATTTTTCAGAGTATAAGACGCACCCTTTTCCTTCAAAAAAAAAAGGCTGAAAATCTGGGTGCGTCTTATACACTGAATGCAGCATTTTTTGCCTCATGAAACCCCGCCTCCTTCACCAAAATGGCCATGCATTGCCTTTAAGAGGCTTCCATAGTGCTCCTGGGGACTGTGGAGGGCAGAAATGAGCAAAAATAGGCTGTTTTTTGCTCGTTTTGAGGGCCCCCACCCCTCAGGAGCACTCTACAAGCCTCCTAAAGGCTATTCATGCCCCTTTTTAAAAAGAGGGCCCTTTTTGCAAAAAAATGGGCTGTTTTGGGGAGGTCTGCAGAGTGCAAAAACTTTTTTTTTATTTGCCTCTTCAAAATCTTGGTATGTCTTATACTCCAGTGCGTCTTATACTCTGAAAAATACGGTACTCTACAGATAGTCCTCGACTTACAACCATAACTGAATGCAACATTTCCGTTGCTAAGCAAGGCAGCTGTTAAGTGAGTTTTGCCCCATTTTACAACCTTTTTTGCCATAGTTGTTAAGCAAGACACTGCAGTTGTTAAGTTAGTAATATGGTTGTTAAGTGAATCCGGCTTTCCCTATTGACCTTGCTTGTCAGAAAGTCGCCAAAGGTGATCACGTGACCCGGGGACCCTGCAATCATGCTAAAATAAATAGGCAGGTATGCGGGTAGTTGTTAGGTAGGTAGAAAGAGAAATTAAAATAGGGACCGCATAATATGAAACAGATCCCTGAGCTATGAATGATCATCACTACAGACAAAGGAGATGACCAGAAGTGATCCCAATTTGAGGGTGCTTAATTAATCGAGATCCCAAGAGTTAGCTATTCCTGCCTAATAGAGTACGAGTAGTATATAAGATATTCCAAATGCACACATACGCCTTCGCATAGAATAAACACTCTTGTGCAATTGCCAGAAACATTTCTGAGAGTCCTTTATTCCTATAGACTGCCGCTCTGTTAACATCTGCTTGTAGAAAGCTGCCAAGGCTTAACTCAGCACAGGAGAGAAAGTACCGCAGCATTAGCATTCCGGGTTGGTGGTGTTGCTTACTGGTGTTTGATCATTTCCTTTTTGCCTCCTCCGTACAAGATTTCAGAGACCAGACCTCCTCCTTTCATACCTACAATGTACATGGGTAATTGCTTCAAGCTGAGCCAAACGGCTTCAAAACAAACTAATCACACCGCTGTAAGCCTTGTTCTGAATGAAAGGGGGATGAGGTGCAAGCGGGCTCGAGGATAAATGTTATTTATCATTTGTTATGTACAACCATTTTAAAGCTGCCTTTAATTTCTTCAGGGAGAATGGGAGCGCACAAGAATATGATGCAAATCATCCCAGAGTGGCGAGAGAGAAAAAAAACAACAACAACACAAAACAAGGAAAGGGCATGTTAAGAAAATAACAAGACAAGCGGGAAATATATACGGCAATCGCACAAGTTAAACCAATCAATTAAAATGCTAGGAAAGCAAAAGAGACCGAAAACCTCTGGAACTCTGCCAGAAGCATGTCTGCTTCCTTGAATTTTCAGTCATAATTCACCGTCAATCACCTGTCTGCTGGTGACACCTGTCCGCTTAGGTCAATTCAACAATTATATACTCTAATTGTCAAAAAGTACCTTCCTGCTTAGAAGCCCTGTAGTTTTTGACTGCTAGGCACTGCATTATTAGAATCAGCTAATCCCTGAATTATTTTCATAATAGTAGCAACCGGGAGCAACCCACCTCTGCAATCTATGCTGTGATTGGTTGCTGTGGATGTGGAGGGGGAATTCCCCCCCCCATCTTTTTCTTCTGTGTGCCCTGTATGGTCTGTGATTTATCTCATGATGCTCCCATTTGCCTGACTATCTTGTTTGCTGTAAATATAGATTTAAAAAATATTTATTTATATAAAATTACAAGTCCGTGTTAGCGTCCCTGACTTCTATTTGTGCTCAATTCCCTGACAAAAACCCAAGGAAGTCCAGCGGCATTTTGAAAAGCACCTTTGAAACAACCATGATCTGGAAGATGGAAAATCTCGATAGATCCCCTGTCAAGCAGTTCCCCTGCCTCAACTTCATTAAAACAACTAGGGCCCTGGCCCAGCACCCACTTATTTCAAAACTGCCCGAGCAGAAAACACTCCCCTGATTGAGTCACTTAAATGTCACTTGGTTTGACACTCTTTAAGTATGTCTCCACACATAGTTGGGTGGCTTCTGCAAAACCTGTTCTGACCTAGGCTTCACAAAATCACGAAGCAGACTCCTTGTCCCGAAAAAACCCCTTTTTATTAAGCTAATGTGAATTCCTCTCATTCACATCCAGCAAAGTCCCTGCAAACAGTCTTTCGAGGGTGAATTTATAACCACAGACCTTATCAGGCTTGGAGAGCTGCCAGACCAATATCTTCCAAACGCAATGCTGTACAAGAAAATACTGAGAGTCATAAACAAATCTTCACACTAATGAATTGAACTAATTGTCTCCTGCAAACTCCACTCCCCTTTCGTTCCTCTTTTTTCCCTATGGGAGGGACCGTTCACCATCCACCCGTGCCTTTACTCCCGAGTTGGCCCTTGTTCTTAACTGTTCCCTTCTCCTGGCAGGTCTGCACATGCACACATCGGGAACAGGCTCCAGCTGTTCTTCTGACCCCTGATACCCAACTCTGAAGGCAGCTGATAACTGTTGGACAGCACTGGCCTCATCTCTGACTCCGATGCAGAGCCCTCATCAGAGCCTTCCCCAGACTCCAGGACTGGCCCATGTTTCTCTCCAACCTCCTCATAAACCAGCCTGTTCATCTCATTAAATAAGATCCCCTTTCCTCAAATGTAAACATTATTTTCCGTGGATCGTGCTATTGTACTGAAATCTCATATCGACCTTATTAGAATTTTACTTTAATTCCCTGAATTAGTAATTCACTCCAAATCCTGATACGTCTTCTGAACTTGCCTTAGTTTTTCTGAAAGAAATTATTATTTTCCAAAGTTTTGCTTGGTCTTTTCAGGCATCTCATTTTTCTTAAGTACCCATGATTTAAACATGTTTAATTATGTATCTTGAGACCACCTATAACACATCAGAAAACTGAGGTGTGGGAAGGCTGACAAAACCAATAATTTTTTTTGTTCAGAGCTAGCCTAGCAAGGAGGAGTTAAAGCTCAAGTGGAAGATGATATTAACTTTTTTTTAAAGCTTATTTTAGAATGTTTTTGTTAAAGATTTATACCCTGTATTGGTTCTGGGAAGTTGGGGGGGGGGAAGGTTGGGGGGGTTGGGGGAGAGGGTGCGGGGAGGGAAGTAAATATTTGTAAAAGTTTTTTTTCATAATTTTCATTTTAAAAACCCAATAATTTTATGGTGGGATGGGAAATGCAACGTAAGTTTCTAAATGGGGAACAATCAGAGTCAGTTATAAACACTCTACTGCTCCCCACTGCTCAGACACCTATGAGCAAAAGACAGGCAGTCCTCAACTTACAACAGTTCATTTAGTGACCATTTGAAATTACAGTGGCACTGAAAAAAAGTGACTTATGACCGTTTTTCACACTTACAACTCTTGCAGCATCCCTATGGTCATGGGATCAAAACTCAGATGCTTGGCAACTGACTCATATTTATGACGTTGCAGTGTCTGGGGGTCATGTGCTCACTTGACAAGCAAAGTCAATGGGGAATCCAGATTCACTTAACAACCATGTTACTAACTTAAGAACTACCATGATTCACTTAACCACCATAGCAAGAAAAATAGGCAAAACTCACTTAACTTTCTCAGTGACAGAAATGTTAGGTTCAATTGTGGTCATAAGTGGAGGACTACCTCTAATAAGCTATTAGAGTTTAAATATATGGATGTCATAGAAACCAAACATTTTCCAGTAAAAATGTTTTTAAAAATGATACTTGCTCAGTGGAGTAAACAGCATTTAAAATCTTCATTTTCTCCCCAACCTATCTTTATTTTTTATTCATTTATCTAAGGCTACATACTGATTACTTGTATTCTGTCTAGGTGCTTACAGTACTGAAAACCATTTAACCTGGATATATAAAAACACTAAATACGGTAATATCTTCTGATAAAAAAAAAAAGAATGGGAAAGCGACTGACATCTCTCTGGATAATTATTCTTGTAATTGCCGACCTCAAAAACAAACAACTCATGTTACAGCAAGAAAAGAACGAGGAAACAATACTTTCTGTGCTTTAATAGAACACTTAATGTTCCCAGATGAAATCCTAAAAACTTCAAAAGTTCTGTTTAAAAGTTCTTGTAATGAGATTCTCCAGGGTCACCATGAGTTAGGTGGCTTATAAATATGATTTATATATATATATATATTTTAAAAAACACTCTTCTCCATTAGCCCTAGACATAAATGTATCAGTCGGGGTAGTTTCAAATATTTTACATTTCTAATGGCTCTTCAACAGAATACCACTAAAATGTTGTTATCCAGGACAGAAGTGGACATAAATGTACGTGAGCTGAAATAATTCCTCCTCACCTTTCAGATCCCTATTCTGAATTGAAGTTGGGATTTGCAGAGAAAAGCAGAGAGGAGAACACTTCCTTTGGAGACGGTCCAGTTACTAGCAATAGAAGATTCTCAGGATCATGCTGTGGGATCCCAGATTCTACTTCTAGTAATTGCCACCAAAGGAAATGTTCTCCTCTCTGCTTATCTCTCAAATTCCCTACTTTAATGCAGAATAGGGATCTGAAATGTGGCGGGGATGTCAGGCCTGCAATTATATTCCTTTTAGAATTTTGGCCTGCCACACT